AAACTGAAAAGTACCTGCTAATATCAGGGTCATCACGGTCTTCACTGTCTTTAGGTTGTACACTCGAGCAGTGGATCGAACTTCAGGTTGAGCAGAGAATTCAGACGGGTTCCTTCCTCTTCCTCTTCCTCGTCCTCTTTGTGAGAAGAACCAGCTCTTCCAGATGGTGCCGGCTCACCAACAATCAAGGGACAATCCCGGACAAAATGTCCGGCCTCTCCGCATCGAAAACAAGTCCCAGCAGCCATACGACAATCCCCATAATGGTTTTTCCCGCAGTGCTCACACTGTTCCTTTGACCCGGAGTAGATCTCCCAGCACCGGATTCCACTGACTGCGTCTGTCTAGTTCTTGCCTGACTTGCTCCCCTAGCAGACGATGCAACTGATTCTGATCTAGTTGTGATCGAAATCCCGAGTCTCTTCCCCTTTTTGTTGGTGTTGAACAGAATAAGTAGTCGTCCTCTTTGATGTCTGAACCCTTGAGTCCCCAAATCTTTCATTCTGAGCCCTTTCAAGAGCTTTTGCACGATTGATCACCTCCTGGAACGAGGACAAGTTTAATACTATCAACATTTCTTTAAGTCTAGGGCGCAAGCCCTCCACGAACCACTCGCAAGCATCTTTTTCAGTAGGCAAGTTCAACTACAAACCTGCTCAGCTTATTAAACTCACATTCGTACTCATACACAGAGCGGCTCATCTGCTTCAAATTCATAAATTCCTTCATTTGTCGGATAAACTGATCTCCAATATACTTGTTTTTAAATTCTTCTAAAAACAAAGACCAAGTCAACTGGTCGGTTGACATCCTCATGGTGACATTCGTCCACCATATCCTCGCCTGACCCCTTAATAAAGACACAGCTCCATCTAATTTCTCCACTTCAAAACAGTGGAGTCTAACATGATTTTCAAATCATTCAACCAAAGATCCGCTGACACCGGACCTTCCTCAGTTCTCCCTTAAATTCGGGAGCTCCTAAACTTCTCAACTCTTTTGCTACATTAATTCGTGGAGTTAGTGGAACAGGAGGTGAAGACGCGTCAGAATAGCGTCTAACGTTCTGAAGAACGTATCTTGATCTTGTACAGGCACTCCTTGAGATGCCTGTTCTTCACCTTGTCTGGCCAGGGCAGGTGAATTACTGCTTTCAGCATGCCTATCTTCTCCCGCTTCACTTCGGGAGCTATTATGTCCGGACATCTAATAAGAAAACACATTGTTCTATTAGCAAAACAGCATACTCATACTATACCAGATCAGAAGTTCTCACTATTTGTTGGCATGTATTCCATTTAAAGACTCATAGACTCTGGTTTATGCCTAGAATCGGCTAAACCATAGCTCTGATACCATTAAATGTAACACCCCAACCCATACCCGACCCGGATATGAGTCAGAGATACTACATTGACTTTAAAACACAACTCTTTAAATAATAGTAAAATATTTGTACTGTATTAAGAAAATACAATAATATACATACTGTAATATAAGTTTACCAAAATATTCAGAGCATACAACTTAACCCTTTAATTACATGCCAACTGCTATTTACATCACAAATGACCTACTGATTAAGTTGCTTCTGATCTGATGGTTGCAGGAGTAATACTGTCAAGCTGCTTCACCTGTCTCGTCTAATTCCTCGGATCCTACGTATGAAACACTCACACGCTAAGTCATCGACTTAGTGAGGCAATAATAATAACAAGGCAATGTAATGTAATGAAAATGTCAGGATCATATGAGATGAGATGCAAACATGTACTTAATCAATGTAGTATACTTCATCAATATCCATACCTGTAAGCGTATGACTGTAACATTCATGAATCTGTATTAATAAGTTTATTGGCCCATGATAGCATATTGAGAACCTAAGGTGTTTGAGTAATGTGAGGTTGTGCACTATGCTGTCACCACAGCTCGTATAAATGCACCGAAGTGCCCCGTAGAATTGCACCGAAGTGCCCGTAGAATTGCACCGTAGTGCCATATAATGATGTCCATAAGGACCACATAGAATTCCTTAAGAATCATATACATATACTATGGATCAAGTATGGTCTTTCAAGACTTCACACAGGTTCCAAAGGATATACATGTCCTAAAGAACCGAGTATACCCTCTACCCTTGGCATGCCAACTATACCTATAGTTCTCATCTACATAACATGGGCTTATACATTTCCCGTAGTTCATATCGCGTAGACATAGTATTTCCATACCTTTAACACATAGGCATATCATTTACATACCTTTATCACCTAGTTCATATAACTTTTTCTGCATATTCATGTCATGTAATACATATAATATGAATTCATGTCATGTAATACATTTAATACAAATTCATGTCATGTATCATAATATGGAATGTAATCATATGTCAAAATATGGAATCTAGACTTATCACAAGTCTAGAACTGAATATACTACTATATTCATGTTATGCATATGCACTCACCTATACTTCTTTGCCTTTTCCTCGATCGATTCTACTTGTAGATTGTTCCCGAACTCGAGTAGGCTCGGTATCTACATAAACATAATTTTCAAGATGATCATCAGATGTCTATATCTTGAAATTAAGCTTTAATAGCTTACTAATTTAAAGAATTTATAGCTTAGTCTTGCTTTCTTTTCTTTCTTTCTTTTTTTCTCATGGGGGAATCGGTTCCCCCCCTTGGGGGTATCGATTCCCCTCAAGCATTCTGGAATTTCATATACGATGAGGGGGTATCGATTCCCCTCTAGCATTCTGGAAATCATATTCGTTGAAGGGGTATCGGTTCCCCTTGAATGGGTACCGATTCCCCTAGCCCGAAAATCCTAATTTGAGCTCGGAAATCATCCCATTTCAGCTCAAACATACATATTTCACTCTCTTTACTACTCTTAGCTTTCATACACTTACTTTAACTAATTATTATCCATTAAATACCTCTAAAACTTAGAAATCTAATTCTCCATGTAGAATTTAAGAATCCAACCCAAATTCCAATATGTTCTAATTTGAATTCTAACACCTCATACTTCTTAGTTAGCTTCTTGACAAGTCAAAAATCTTATTCAAACTTCAAAAACTCATTCCTATCAAAATTTCATCTAAAAATTCATTTTCCAAATCATTCTCTAAAACACTTATCTTGTTGTTTTAATGTCATATAAGCTTTCCTTTAGCTTATATAACATCCAAGCTTTCATTTCCAATCTTAAAAATCAAAGAAACTACCAAGGTTCAGATTCTTACCTTTACTTGCAAGCTCCACGTTGAGAGAAGGAAGAGAAGAAAATAAGGAAGAAGGGAGAAGAAATGGGAGGGTTCTGGAACCTAATGTCACACGTGGGTCTCATATAACCCCATAACATTTTATTTTTAATTAAAAATTACTTACAAATGACCATTTGGTCCTTACTTCCATCTCATATTTACTAACCATACATTTTAAACTAGATAATTATTCTACTTTAATCACCAAATGTTGAAACTTTGCAAATTAATCACTCACCCGACATGGAGGATGTTACAGGTATTTTTCCAAGTCCCTGTAGCATGAATAGTTCGCTATCGGTAGTATTCGTTGTCATGTATTTAAGCCATTGTTTTGAAAACTAGACCGGACCGGTCGGTTCAACCGGGAACCGCTACCTAGTCTGGTTTAATTTACACCGGTTGAATCGCTACTAGTAAACCGGACGAAACCGCTGAACCGTTCGAACCGGACCGGCTGAAAATCGGAAAAAACCGAAAAAAAACCGCCAATTTTTTTTTAATTAAACCAAACGACGTCGTTTGTTAAACGAGCCAAGTCAAACTCGAGTATTTGATGAGCTCGACTCGAACTTGAAAACTTTAAAAGTAAGCTCAACTCGACTCAAACTCACGAGCTAAAAATTATCAAGTTCAAATCGAACTCGAAATATAATATTGAAACTTGAACTCGAAAAGTCTTGAACTAAAAAAAATTTAAAAGCTCGATTGAAGCCTAAAATTCGGGCTTGATTAAAGTGAAAGAATAGTTCACTCAATGCTCACCAAAAGGCTCCATGATTTTGAATGTCAAATTACCTCAATTATTTATAGAAGTTAATTGGGATGCTCTTCTATTTTTCTTAGTCATGTGAGATTGCTTTGTTCTCATATTTTTACTCTTGAGACTTTTGGGATGCTCTTCTATGTTTCTTAGTCATGTGGGATTGTTTTTAAAAAAAATTAAACCAAACAATATCATTTTGTTATGATTTTTTTAGCCCCAAATTTATTTTTTAATTATAGTTATATAATTATATTTATTATTTAATATGTTTTACCTTAAATATTATGTTGTAGTTAATTTGAATCATTTTGTTTCACTTGATTTTATGGTTTTTAACTTATATATGTTATGATTTGCTTTGAATATGACTTGTGATATAAAAAATTATATTTTATTAAATATTTTTGATATTTTTATTTAATTTTTTAAATAATTATGACGTCGTTCGGTTCTTCCGACCGGTCGGACCGATTCGACCGATTGAACCAGTAAACCGGTAACATAGCCGGTTCGCTAACCGGTCCGGTTCTAAAAACCATGATTTAAGCATAAAGGACTTTTGTAATGATAGGTGATCACCATCAAGTAAATTCTATTTATCATTTTGGAGGAGTATTTGAGGTGTCATCTTTCGAACAGTTGATCAATATCATATTTTTAAAATATTTGTGTGTAATTTTAATCTCAAGATTCTATCTTTCGACCCCATAGGAGAATCTCGAGAATATTTCATATCATCATACGATTTATAAGACTATAACGTGGCCTTTTGTACTCCCATGTTTTGACCACCTCTGAAGACGTAGTTACAGCATGATGATCATCTCCATAAGAAGCTCTGTAACACAGGGAGAAAACGGCCTATACGGGACACTAAAAGTTGAACTTTTATCTTCTTGAGAAGACTGATACAACTCTTTCTGGGGAACTCGTTGTCGCTACGCATTTGAACTGTCAATTGTAAGAGAAAATCCTTTTTATCAGAAACTTAAATTCAGATATTTGTATATATATGTCTGTAAAATTTACCTTCTGTTGTCTGTACTTGTCGCGAAAGGAATTGAGGGAGCAGCCATTAGTGTTGAGCTGCAATTCCTCCAATGCAAGTACACTAGTTTTCAGCTCTGATGCCTTGTAACTAGTATAATGCTCCAAGGTTGGATTCTGCTAAACAAAAACCCCCAAAGTAAATGAATATTGTGTCCTTCGGACGGTGTTTCCAATTATCAGAAAGAACAAAAGAGAAAAGCTTGAGAGGGGAACAAAGATGAACAGACCCATGGATGCACTGATTGATTGAGGGTCCATCTAGCAAGGAATACAGCGGATGCTGCGATGAGTGAAGGCAAGAACTTTAAGAAGTTGTACTCAACTAGACTCGGCTCTGCTAAATAATTTGCTAAGAACTCTAGTTCCATGCACGGAACCTGTACTCCAACACAATTGCAATGCAAATTAGTTTTTACTGAACGTACCAATATCTTAAACACGAATACATTGAGTGCACCAAAAGAACACGAATTACTGTTTGTTTTTTCGTATTGAAAAACGAAATTCAAATTTACTAAAAGAATATGTATTTTTATAATAAACCTTAGATGTTCACTTTCTGATCAAAATGGTGCAAGTTATGACAAGAGGATGGGTCAACCCCTTGTATCAAATATTAATGGGGTTAAGTTAATGCATTGAGTTGAGCCGATCAAATGAAGGCAATAGGGGGCCACGGACCACCATCAAGCCGACAGGCAAGCATGCATGCACTCTGCTGCCCTATTTTTTCTGCCTATAAATCATTGTCAGATGGGACTAATTTATTACATCGATTCAGGTTTACGTAACAAAGTAATGGTATTAATGTTCCAACATGAACACGTCGTTTATCACATCGAAGAAGCCATGAGTTCATGCTCTGAAAAGAAGCCAGCACTCGGGAGTTCTATGGGATTCTCATTGATCAAATTTTAAATTAAAAAGGAGAAAAAAATAATTGCTAAACATTTAACAATTAATTTTTTTATATATTTGTGCGGGAAGGAGAAGCCTAAAAATGGGTTAGTCTCTCCTCCACGTAAAGGGATAATAACGGTACCGGTTAGAATCGGGGCTTTTATTAATCTGATCTGATCTAAAGACCATGTATTCTCCATTCAAATTTGATCCGACCAAAAATTTATATATTTTTCATCCGACCTGATCTAATCCAAAATATAATATCATTCACTCGACTTCGATCCGACACCAATCGACCTGGTATAAAATAAAAATTTAATAAATAATAAAAAAATTTAAAGAAATTACAGTATTATCCCCATATCGAGCCAGAATTTTTTCACGCTCCACTCGAACTCAACCTGACCCCACCCAACCCGAACTCAAAACATTTTTAAAAGTTCGTTCCTATCGAATCGGGTCGGATCAAAACCGTTGGTTTTGGGTTAAATTGTCATCCCTATGACTTTCCTTACCCAATATTGATATTTATGTAATGGGTAAACTATGTATTTAGTCTCTCTATTTTATCATGTTTCAGATTTGGTCATTCAATTTCAAAAATATGTTGATTTTATTACCAAACTTTTGAAATTTGTTTTTAGGTCACTAGGCCCTGTAAACGAACCGAACATTCAGCGAACCATTCGTGAACCATTCGGCGGAAGTTTGTTTATGTTCGTTTATTTATTAAACGAACGAACATAAACAAGATTTTGTGTTTATTTAATTAAATGAACGAACATAACAAATGTATCGTTCGTTCATTTACATTCATGAATGTTTGGTAATCCGTTCGTTTATGTTCGTTGATTTATGTCCGTGTATGTTCGTTCATTTATGTTCGTATATGTTCGTTCATTTATATTCAGCCCAATCTCCATACGCATTTAAAATATTAAGAATCAATCATTAATATTTTAAAACTCAAATAATTTTAAATTAAAGAAAATATAAACCATCCATTTAAAACTCAAATAATTTTAACTCTGAAGTTGTAGGTTGTATTAATGAATAATGAATTTTATGTGGCCATTGTTGTTATTGTTTACGTTCGTTTACGATCATTTATTGTGTTCGATTATGTTCATTTGTTATGTTCATTTATGTTCATTTATTGTGTTCGTTTATGTTCATTTACATTCTTTCGTTTATGTTCGTTTGTATCCGTTCGTTTATGTTCGTTCATTTGTGTTCGTTTGCATCTGTTCGTTTATGTTCGTTCATTTATGTTCGTTTATCATTTAAATGAACAAACACAAACAAGCTTCATTCTTTAATGGACGAACATGAACAAAAAAATATGTGTTCGTTTATGTTCGCATTCGTTTATTTGTTCGGTTAAAATTAAACGAACAAACATGAACATAACCCGTTTGTGTTCGTTCGATTCATTTACATGCCTATCGGTCACATTGTTGTCGACCAGCAGTACCAAAATTTTACATTTTGAGCAATTTATTTATATATAATTAATTTAATTTTTTATCCTTCTTTTTCTCCATTGGATGGCATCCTTCTTTATTGTGGGTTGGTCATTATCAACCATTATTTATTTATTTATAACCACTACCAAAATACTTCTCTTTCGCCCTTTATTATTCTTCTAGGTTTGATTTTTCTTGAATTTTTTAAATCGACAAAACTCAAATCTTAGCATGATATGCAATCTCCGCCGTTCGAAAAATAATACTTTAGCGTTAATGAAAACAAAAATCCAACGTGAAAATATTGATTTTTAGATCCACTTGTGTGAGCCCCAAAAACAATGTGTTGGGATTCCCTCACCGTACAGATCTTATGTATGATAGCTCTTGTTGTTTGGACCACCCTTTGTATTTCCAAGCCAAATTTGGATTTTAATTTGATTGGTGGATCTTCCCCGAGGGCACAGCCATAAATCTTTCGTTGGAAGTGCATGATAAAAATATAAACTGTTGGAAGTGCATGATGAAAATATAAACTGTTGGAAGAACAAAGGTAAAATTTTATGCCAAGGACTAAACTGAATTATCTATATTCAAGTGGGGCCTAAAGCACAATTTCACCATTTTTGTGCGCAGGAAATAGATGAAAAATAAGAGAAACAAAAGTCAAAGAACTTAACATACAAGGTCGCATATCATGCATACAACGGACAAGGCTGAAGGTTAGCAACTAGGGTTATGGGGGAAGCCAAAACAAGGAGAATCCACATGGACACAATGAACCACCACATCGATAAATTCGCGAGTTCTGCTAACAGTTGTACGACTTCCACAATTTAACGAAATTGTCATGACTAGCGGAAGAAACCAACCCCGTCACGGGTGAGACCGCCAATGCAGCTATTAGTCCTTCGTGAGCCGACAAGGTCTTAATCTTATTGTCTGTCATATTCCATAGCTCCAACGACTGCAGCAGATTAACAAAACAATTGCTATGTAATTGAACCCAACATGACTCCAAAAGTTTCAAACAAGGATTCGGAAATCAATGGTCCTGAAGCTAGTGAAACTATCCCGTGTACTACCAAGAGGATTTTGAGAAGCTCGCAACAAACAAGAAAGTTACTTGCCTGGTAACAGCCGATGACAAGCAATGATGGAATTGTTGGATGGAAAATACACGAGTGAAACTTGTTGCCACTACAGCTCAATTCATGAACACATTCCCCTTCGCTTCCTGATCCAAAACTCCAAACTCTGACAGAGTCCTCACTAACAGATGCTAGAAACTCACCATTAGAGTCCCAGCATACCGAATGGATCAGTTTCGTATGTCCCTGAAATTATAAAATGCATAAAAAAAATCACAATCCTTATTTCTATGTACATATAGAATTTCAAAGAGAAAAAGGTCAGTGAACCACCTGTAATGAGTGTCGACAAGCTTGAGTTTCTGCATCCAATATTGATACAACATTCTCTGCAGCTAAAGCAAGATATTTTCCAAGGCGAGGTTGAAATCTCAGCTGGACTGTACCAGGAGCTGTACCACCCTGATCAACATAAAGGAGACATTCTTAACAGGTGCACATCCACCTCAAAGACAGGCCTGAAATCAATTTAGTCACACTGAAAGGAACTCGGTTGCAAGATCATTACCCTGAAAACTCTCGCACAACTCCCGTTGTTGATACTCCAGTATCTGATTTCACCATCACCATCACAAGAGCAGATAAGGTCATCCTTAGTCGGGTGGAAGTCGAGTGACATAACATTACCAGAATGTCCCATAAAAGTGCGAAGTGAATAACCAGGCTGCAGAAGTCAAGAAAAGTAACTGTTAAAAATAACTGGTAACACCATGCTGATAAAGGACATAAGACAAAATCTGCAAAATACAATTGAATGGTTATCGAGAAGAAAGAAAAGTAGAAGAAAACATTAACACAGAAGTCCAAACAATTTTGAGAGAATGGAAAGGAAAAATATCTACTAACACTGTCAGCATCCCAAACTCTGACTGTTTTGTCAAATGAAGATGTTGCAAGGCGTGGCATGCTTGGACTGAAACGAACATCGGTAATTAAACATGAATGTTCTTCAAGTGTAGACTTTGGCTTCAAAGTATCTGTATACCATAATACAGCCTGTGTAGGGAAAAGAAGGTGCAAAGGATTTCAATTCTTAGCATGATTTGAAAATGAAAACCATCGTAAACTTGACAGTTCAGAAATAGCAAAGTTCCATCTCTTCTCTAGGTACTCACCTTTTTATCATGGCCACCACTGGCAAGCAACTTTCCATCTGATGAAAAATGACAAGAAGTGACTTTGCTATTGCTTGCTCGAATAGATTTTAATTCCATAAATGTGAAACCTGAAGAAAAAATTAAAATTTGGTACTGTTAAAGCATGGAATTGATCCACTTATGATCTGATGAATGTATAACCCTCAAAATTGCAAATAAGGATAAATATAAGCACCCATGCAATAGCTCAATTCCTTTTGTCAGATCCAATTAGCATTTTAATATATAAATCTATGTGGAAAACAGCCATGTGATTAGTTAGTAGAGTGCTGAATTCTTAGTTCCAGTGATCAAGATTCAATCCCTTGTAACCTCAAATCCCAGAAGATGCCAATGTGGAAAGATCATAAAATTAATAGCAATAAATAACAATTAAAAGGTCAAATCAGAAAGAATAACGCCAAAAAGAGCATGGAGAATCCCAATGAGGATGCACCAATTGTCATAATCATTTCACAGACAAATTAATACTGGAAAAAAAATCAAGAGAGCAGAACTACAATGTTCGAGAAAAATGGCTATATAAGATTTCCAACAACAGCAGAGTTTAACAAATCATAACCATAAAAGTTACTTTATACACCTTTAGTGACATCCACACATCGGCCAACTGCATCTCTAGGATCTGTATCATCATGCGATAAAAAAGACTCAACATTGTCAGCAAGTGAGCCGTCCTCCACAAATCGATCAATATCAGCCTGCAATTCAAG